ATATATATATATATAAATAGATAGATAGATAGATAGATAGATAGATAGATAGATATGCGCATCATATCTTTATTCAAACATATTTCATTGAATAATATCGACATATTCGATATATTTATTATTATAATAATCCTTTCTAGTTCTCTAACCCGATTCTTGATTTTAAAATGAGATTCATCAAGGAAGGCTTCGAGGTTTTCGCCTTGCCAAGTACTTTCAATCTCGACCGAGATAATCCTTAGTAGTGAATTACAAAGTCGAACTTCGACTATGATAGTTGTGATAGTGATTGAAAAACAACTCAATTAGGACGAACGCTGTAATTTATAATTATTTTCGAAACATGAATCTTAATTTAAGTGAACTAGCCATATATATATATATATATATATATATATATATATATATATATATATATATATATATATATATATAAAGAACAGTAAGATTTATAATCCGGTGCACTCATAGCTATTTTTTTTTTACACAAAATAGTGCTCAATCTAAATTTATACAAATATATGAAAGGAATTGGTAGGAATGCAAAAATATGTCTATATTATTCAATGAAACATTTTGTATCTGAAATAAACGGGGATTAATATTTTTTATTTTTGTTTTAAATTAAACAGTTATTAATTGTATTTCAATATATATATATATATATATATATATATATATATATATATATATATATATGAGATTCATGTGAAAAAAGATAAAAAATAAAAAAACAAATGAAAACTACAGACAAAAGTTCATTTTTCCAACAAAAGACATTCATTTCTGTAGTTCACTGCTAACAGCAAGCAGAAATATTTCTCCTCCTGATGATGGCCATTTTGGTCGAAACCAGTCGAGGAATCTAAATGGAATAATAATAATAAAAAAAAACGAAAGAATATTAATCTACAACCCAGTGTGTCTAATGATTTTAATTTTTAATTTTTTTTATTGTTCAATATATATATATATATATATATATATATATATATATATAAGAAAAATGGGACAATATATATATATATATATATATATATATATATATATATATATATATATATATATATATATATATATATGTATTTATGTATACAGTGGAGGAAAAGAAATATTCGTACACATAGAAAATTTAACTGTAACATGTATTTTCATGTAATGAATAAACATAATTTTCTCATAACTGTGCACCGATGCATAATAACTAAATATGCGTAGAAAACAGAAAAGAATGTTGATTAAATCGAAATAAATCCCATTTATCCATTTTAATGGGAGAAAAATATTTGTACAATACAAACATGAATACATAATCTTCATTTAATACATTGTAGAATGGCCATTATTCACTTCTACAGCAACCGACCTCTTCTTGTAGTTATGAATTAATGATTACACACACATACATACACACACACACATACACACACACACACACACATACACACACACACACACACATATATATATATATATATATATATATATATATATATATATATATGATTAAAATTTGATTGAATAGAAATAAATCCCATTCATCCATTTTAATGAGTGAAGAAAATATTCCTACAATGCAAATTTCATATTTTAAATCATTTAAGTTGCTTTAATAATCTAAATTAATCAGGTCGAATATTCTAGAATGTTCCAATACTGTTATCAGTAGTTTTTTTAGTCTGAACATACAAACAGAACTGTCTGTAATAAATATTTTTGCAAGAAGATTTTCCCCATGGCAAGAGATTAAGAACTGATAAATTCGCAAAAATACTGTTTGTCAAGCTCTGAAAAATAGCTAAATGTTACAGGAAAATTTTAGACAGCACGAATATTTCATTTACTACCATTACTTCATTCATTGCACGGTATAGAAACTCAAAATTTTGAAAAGGAAAGTAATACAGATGCTCCATGGAAGATTTCTGCAAGATCTTTGAGAAAATAAAAGCGTCAAATTAAAAAAAAAACATCCAATAGTAACTCGTCAAGAATCTCCGTCACTAAACGGACAATAAAGGATGAATTTCATAGGAACAATCTAAAGTCACGTTCCCCCCGGAAAACTCTACTGCTATTGAAAAGACACAGAGATGACAGTTTGAAATTCATTCGTGAATATAAGGATAAGGATAAATTGTATTTGGAAAAGGTATTATAGACAGACGAAACCAAAAGTGAGTTGCTTAGACGTAATTCTAGAAATCATATATGGAGGAGTAATGGTGATTACTTCAAACAAAAACAGTTCAAACATTGAAATTTGGTGATGGCGGAATCATAGTTTGCAGATTCTTTTTCCTGCAAAAGGTACTGGCAACAGATCAGTAATAGATGGTAGAATGAATGCAGCAGCATTTCAAAATATTTTGGAAGCAAATACCTTATGCGAAGAAGAATGGAACAAAATACTCACTAAAATTTGCAAATCCTTAATTGGGAATTAAAAGAGGCTTGTTGGTATAGAAGTAAATAATGGCTATTTTACAAAGGATTAAAT